AAGGCAAATATTCATTACGGATTGTAACTCACTTGTTGCTTTGGTTTTGCAGGCTTCCCTTAAGAAAAAAGAAATCTGTGAATAAATTGTAAAGAACACAGAACAAGGTTATATTATTAAAGCCAAGTATCACTTAATTACAAAATAAAAGCTTAGGTCTTTCTCTACTTAATCTCTTAACATGTCGATTTAAGGGTGACAGTATTTCCACACCTCATCTTACATTTTTTTTCTATTATTGAGGCATTAACAGTATGATTAGACAATCAACATTTATGTGCTTACTATGCGTCACAAATCATCCTAACACATGGAAAATCCTAAACAATCCTACAAAGGGGTACTATTACTTACTTGTTTTATAGCTGAGGAACCTAAAGCTTAGAGAGGTTTCGAGTGTAACAGCTTGTCCAACATCACAGATGAGGAGATAATGAGGTCAGGATTGGAAGCCCAAGAATCTATACCTGACAGTATTTTAATTTTCCAAACTCCAAAATTCTTTTAGCTTCACCCCTGATGCTATATTCTCCAAGTAACTCATGGTATTTTTGCTCCTACTTCTACTTAGATTTAAAGCAAAATAAAACAAAACCAGGAAATTACATACTAATTTGTAGTATTTTTTAAAATTCTAAACATCTGTAATCTTAATTATCTATCCCAATCTTCAGATAACTTCTTTGGAGGCATTTTGAAATGTGAATGTCTTAAGAAAGTATTAGTCACAAAGAAAAATAAAGCCAAATTAATTGTAATCATCAATAAATGAATTTAAAAAAAATCTTTTTATGATATATAAGCCCGTTACCAAAGTAGTATAAACCATAAACAAGCTCCTTGAGATTATGTCATCTATCCCTTAACATTCTCCACACAAAGCCTAACGCATAGCGTGTACTCAAATACTGGTTAGACACACTGAATTAGAACAAACAAGTAATCTGGCATAAACAGTTATATTCAAATGCTAAAAATTCTTCAGAAAACAAGGTCGACTTAAATTATTTTGTGATTTGAGATGGAAAAAGACAATTGCAGAGCAAGTCATCACCAAGCTGAGTCATCAATACAATTGTAGCAAGATGCACTGGCTTTCCATCGTTAAGTCACTGAAAGTCATTGAAAGATACAGCAAAAATTATAGGTCTGTTAACATTAATGCAATATTTATTCAAGAGATAATATTCAAGAAGGGCTCAATTTTAACAAAGGAAAAATTTACCAGTAATTCACCCTGCAGCAAAAGATGGAACTGGGTACCATTTATGATGCACAAATTTCACCTTTACATTTCTAAATAAAACTGTACTGACTTCTTTGAGAGAGCCATTTCTTAAGTTTTGCTAGTAAGGCTATGCAAATTGTGTTCATAAACTTCGACAACACACCATGCACACACGCACACCAAAAAAAAACCCTTTCAAATAAAGTACCTAAGGTTCTTACTCCAGGCTGAGTACCTGTAAGCACCTAGGATGCTGTAATTTTGCTGATTCAAGGCTGTATATTTTGTGAATTCAATTTCAATCACATTCACTGTGTTTATTTACCATCATTTCTTTAAAAATAATTAGATCAATGTTTATTATGACTTTACAAATCCCTCAGATTATACTTTCATATTTAACAAGGTACTTTCAAAAATATATATATTAAAAGCATCTGTTTTAAATTTCCCTTCAATGTAATCCACAAAGTTGGTAACAAATGTTAAGAGCTCTATCCCAAAATAAAATGTAGCCTTCTTCTAAAAATTACTTGCTACAGATCACATTCTATTCCATAATTCTGATAAAGAATCTGGGTTTTGTTTTTTACCAAAAAAAAAAAACTTAGGATGATTCAGCCCTTGGAAAATCTTAATTGCAGTCACTCAAAGAAGAAGTCAATCATTCCCGCAGTCACACTTGAAAACTGTAGTGAGCATTGACCAAGTTTTGTTTTGTTGGTGGTTACTGCTTTCTGGTTGACAACATCTGAATTTAAGATAAAAGAACATCTCCTACTAAGTCTTATTTTAAATATTACAAACTTTATACAGAAGACAGACTCATAGAGGCTATAAAGCTGATGTCTGAAGTAACTCACCCACGGAATGGGTGCAGGCTTTTTAGAGGCTACTGAATGATCTTTTTGCTCTAAAAATGAATGCCTCTACTTTTCAGAGTGTTCCCATTTTAATAGGAAACTTGAGCAGCTCAACAGTTTTTCTATAAAAACAAATCACTTTTCTTAACAAACCAAAAATGTAAAAGGAAACCAATATATAAGACATACTTTTCACAGTTAACAATAAATAAAAGTGCAATGAGTATTCAAGTAGGGCACGTAGTTTAAAAAACTACATGTGAGTAATTTGGCATAGGTCATCTTTTAAATGCTCTTCGAGGGTCCCTGCCATTACTTATTGTGGTCATAACTGTGTGATTATCAGCTGTTCCTGGTAGTTGTGGATTTATAGGTCCTCGGCCATTACTTCTACCACCATATGAAAACTGATATCCCCTTGAGTCAGGGCCAGTCTGAACACCATTTCCTAAAAAAGAATACAAAAATTCATCACTTTTCAGATACTGATCTATAGAAGTACACCTATTTGAAGTTCCAATACATGCTATTAACACGAATAATATTAGTGAAAACAGCTTTAGTTTTAAACTTCTGGGGTGGGAGGAACTCAATGTGGGTTCTAGGTTTTTCCAAATGTATGATTATAATAAATGTATTACTTTTATGTTGTATTAGTAGGGAAAGGAAAAAAGACCAACTTGGGCAACAAAATTAAAATTAATAGAATAGAAAAAAAGCTTAGACCATCCACTGCCTACACTAGAAGGGAAAAAAGAACGAGCAAGGATAACACAGTTATGAATACTGGCAATTGGCTTAAATATGTTTAATATTGTTTCAAAAAGATGGCAAAGTTTCTCAATGTGATGATGCCTGAACATGTAGCCATCAGGTCAAATGAAACTTAGAGCCACCCTAATGAATGCAGTCACAAATTATTTTTCTTCAGTTAAAAGAATGAAGACTTCAGAAGACCTTCAACAAGGCTGCAAGGTCATGAACATGACATTTGAGGGATAAAGGCTACTCTTTTAAAGAGGTGGCTATCAGTATGTGAAAACTTAAGGCAAGCTATTAGTCTGAAGATAAAGTCTTTCAGTACAACTAAACCATCAGAAATACTGCATTTATAATAAACAATCAAGTTATGGAAATTTTATTTAAAAAAATTAATGGAAGAAAAGCATGAGACCTTTTCATATACATCACCAAAACTTAACTTTTTCATTATCAGCCAATGTTCACCACTGTCTTCCCACAACCTGACCCAAATGCTTAAATATAGAATATGCTCAATAAATTAGCTTAAGAGTGTATCTGCTTTCTAGGAAAAGCAGTTATTTGGGAATTCTGTGTTTATTGGTAGTTCACATTTAGTACTAATTTATGCCTAAAGACAAATTTTTCCTCTAAATCTTTCATAAGATATACCCCCTTAATTCTTACACCTGATTACAAATATTCAAAAAAAAAAAATCTTACCCACTGGTCCAAATGTACCTGTACCCATATTACTATTCATGGAATTATTCTTCTGTTCACTGTATGCCTAAAAAAAAATTTTAATTTAACCAAATGAACATTAAAAAACCACTTTTATATTATTATATTATATTCATTCTTATTTTTTAATTTTTTTAAATTAAAAAGATTTGTCTAAGTCCATTCAATATTCAGCAATATTTCTCAAATGTTTCACAGGTGCTACACGCTACATATTTCCTGGTATTACTCCCCACGCATCTAAATACTAAATGGCAGATATGTCTATTACATGATACTTCAGCTATATACAGAGAACCACAAAACGCCTTAAAAAAATATTTTTTAAAATTGTCTTCATTACACACTGGGTACCCACAGGGTTGACAATCTAGCCATAAAATTAAAATACAGTCAAAATTAGCCTAACCATAAAAATAAATTATACATTTGGATTAATTACCCCTTTGTTCTGCTGTCCTCGATAATCTGGATTGGGTTCACTGAAATTTGGCACTTCTGAATACACCATACAAAATCTGAAAAGCAAATAAAGGACAAGTTACATAATCAACATTTCTGTATATAACTTACAT